GGGTTCCACGCGATTTTTCTCATCCTCGATTGGTTGTGTTGGCAGAAAGGAAAAGGATTCAAAAAACGTATATTCGCGCCATTGTGGAGAAGCGCGAATTTGAACGCGCAAACGACGCCAACAGTCCGCATGGATCTGCTAAGTTTTGAGAATGCTTCTCTTATTAGTAATGCGATTATAAACAGAAAGAAATCATGTACAATACAATCGGATTTAATATAGGTACTACTTCGAGAAAAATACTCTCACCTTGTCCCTTTTCTTGATAATCTACAAAGTCCTATTAAAGCGTATTTTTATTTGATGCTTTTATAAACTAGACTTCTTAGTTTGGCGTTCGACAAGTCAAGCGCTACTCTGTAGAGCTTTTCTTGCAAAATTACACATTTTGATTTTGACTACCTTGCCGATCCTCGTATATTTGTTCCTCGAAAAGTTTCCTTCTTTTTTCCTTAGTTCACTTCATTTCAGAGTTTCTGCCGTGGGGGTGTTTTCACCTTTCAAAATACATTAATGGAGAAGTTCTACACTCCACTGCAAACACCGTCAGCCAGATCAAGGCGAAAGGCAATTTCTCCAATTGTACAAACTCCACAAGCGAGTGCAAACTGTTCGTCCCCATACAATGTATGTTTGCACCAGTGTCGAAGTCGCACAAATTGCGTTTTATTTTCATGGCTTCCTGATTTCCTTTTGCATATTTCAGATGGTGAATCTTGACATGGATGAGAGCAAACTTAAAGAACGTATTCTGGAGCAGGACAATATGATCAGAGATTTGCAGAAGACTATTAAGGTAAAGATTTTTGGAGAAGCTGTCTTTTTTTCCACCTAAGACGTTTTTAATAATAAATGCTAAACGATAGTTACCCTAATTTCTGAGAAAAGTTCTTAAAATGAGCACTAATAAAAATCGTCTAGAAACAGTCCAATTTTTTAAAATAGAAAATGGAAGAAGACATGGCCTCCAAAATGAATGAGAGTATACTTATCGAAACAAGCAATCGTATAAATGCCCATGAATCACGCATATTTCAGTTAGTTTTTGATCATATTCTTAATGTCTTAAATGTGCAAACTAGCTCGACCTTTTAGAAAAGATATTGCGTTGTACGAGCATGATCTCAAAGAGACGAAAGAGCATCTAAGAACTTTGAGGCTTGATTTGGCAAAAGAAGTGAACAAAAGAATGGCTGTTGTAAGTGGATTGATTTCATGTTTTTTTCGCCCTCTTCCTTGTCGTTGTATACCAAGTAATTGCAACATTCAAATCATATGTTTCTATTTGAAGGAAGATGATCTTAGACGACGACTTATTGAGATTGAAGAACTTGAACATAAATTGAAAAATGCAAACGATGCTACAAACGTATTACAAGAAAAGGTAATGGTTATGAATCCTTCATAACAAATGATTCTGTTCCGTCTGCCAATGAATCATATTTTCCCAACTTGCGAGTGATTATGTAGGAGTTACTTATTAGTCAATTTTTTATTTTCAGCTTGTTGATAAGGACCAATCAATCACGCAGCTTGGATCGGAAGTTAGTTCGGCAAAATTCGAGATTTCTACACTGCAGACTAGACTAAACAAGGTTAGATAGATTCGTATTTTTCATTCATCTCCGAGTTTTTGTAAATGATTCTTACCAGAAATCCTCTTTTCCACTAGGTGTAAGTCAATACTTATTAGTAAGATATTTTTTTGCATGCAAATACTCCCATACATCTTAATACTTCAGCATTGCCATTTTCTAGGTTACTTCCCCTTGCAGCCAGTTGCTGGAGGTTTTTCTTCTTTTTTAGTGAATGTTTCAGTCTCGACAAGATGTTGAAGAAGCACGTAAACGGAACAAGCAACTTTCGTTGGAGATTGCATCACTTAAGGTGGCTTTATCTGAGAGCAAGGAAGAACTACGCCGTAATCTCGAAGACGTAAAAGATCAAAAAGAAAATATGACCAAAAGAGAAATCGAGGTGAGTTTAACTCGGCGTTCTAGCCTGCATGAGCATGTGCGTTAACCAAACCACCACATTTCTATTACGAAATCTGGTCTTCATTTTTCCAGCTGAGGCGGAGTCTGGAATCGAACTTTGTAAGCAATAACATATCAACATCTCACAATCTGCTCAACGCATTTCAATCACTTTCATCTCAACTGGTTAACATGCAGAAAACCCAGCTCACCACCGAGGTGATTACCGCAACTTTTCATTTCTGTCGACATCTAACTGACAAAATTCCATAGTTTCAAAAAAAAA